CTCTGAGCCCCTGGCTGGACGAAGGAGTTGGAGCTGGGTGTGGGGTTCTGCTCTGGGCCGGCCGGGGGTGCAGCTCAGCGGGTGTCTCTGTTCCGCAGACGTCTGCATTAACAAAGGGAAAGAGCCGCAGACCCTGGTAAGTGTCCCCTGTTCCCCCATAGAGCTGGACCCCAACCTTGACCTGCATGGGCCCAGCAGCCCCCTCATATCCCCCCCCCAGCCTTTCCTGGCACACTCAGTGGTTTGGAGTGGGAGTCAAGCTATTGGGAGAGGGGTGGGCTTATGGGATCGCCAGATGGGATAGAAAGGTGTATGTGTGTGTCCCTGTCGCTCCCTGCTGGAGGCGTGTGTGTGCATGCGGGGGCGGATGTGTGTGTGTGTGCGGGGGCGGATGTTTGGTGCATGCGCACACACACACACACACACACACACACACACGAGTGACTTTCTCCCCTCCCACCCCAAGGAGCCTGACCCCAGCACCAACGCCAAGCTGGACCTCCAGATGCTGCAGCCCAGCGTGTACGCCGTGATCAACGTGAGCCAGGGAGTCCCGCAGTGAGAGCCCCCCACAGCCATGGGGCGCCATCCCCCCAGGGGCAACACACTCACCCCCCTACAGCACCAACCCCAGAGAAATCTGCTTCTAGGGAAGTTTTAGCGGGGACACTGCCCTCTTCCCACTGCAGCCCCATCTCATCAAGCTGCTGTCCCCCTGCCCCGCCCAGACCCACATATGGGGGTAGGGGGAACTCAGCATCGGTAGGGGGAGGGGACACAGCAAGGCAGCTTTGATGTTATTTTGCATATTGTTAACCTCCAGATTTGTAATAAACACAGAACCACAAACCAGCACCCCTGGGCAGCCCCCCATCCCCCCTGTCCTGGTGCCAGGAGAGTGTGCCGCACCTGGGGGAGATGGGATTGCTGTGGGGAGGGGCGCATAGGTGCTGTCAGGGTTCTCTCCCCACTCTGAACTCTGGGGTACAGATGTGGGGACCCACATGAAAGACCCCCTAAGATTATTTCTACCAATTTAGGATTAAAACTTCCCCAAGGCACAAATTCCTTTCCTTGTCCTTGGACAGTATTGCTGCCACCACCAAGTGATTTAAACAAACATTCAGGGAGGGGCCACTTGGAGCCCTATCCCCCCCCCCAAAAAATATCCCCACAGTCCCCTTCACCCCCTTTCCTGGGGGGGAGCTTGAGAATAATATACCAACCAATAGGTTAACAAAGTGAGCACAGACCAGATCCTTGGGTTTTTGGGAC